GCTCGTGAAGCTAGTGTAGCTCAGGATTTAAAATAACTAAATAAGGTGTGAGGATAAACTAATTATATTTTGTTATTTATATATTGTTAAGTTAATAAGATAATATGCTAATTCTATCGAACACAATATATCAAGTCAGTAATAGTTAATTTGAATTTTTTTATTTTTTTATTTTTTTATGTCTAGACTATTTAATATAAAAATTCTACTATTTATAGGTTTATTAGATATTATAATTATCTAAGATTTTAAATATAATGTTTGCATACAAATTACTTACACATTTTAATAAAATTACTCATTATCTTGATCTTATACTTTCTAACAATTAATATTTTGCATATTACTTGATAATTAATTAACATTTAGCCCATAAAATTTATTTGCCTTTATTATGATTGTAGATGCCTGAAATATTAAGTTTTTGTAATTCAATTTAAATTGTAGTAGTTTTAATCGCTTATGCAGCAAATATTTTCATAGTAAACTATTTTATTTTATATTTTTTTCTATATTCTTTCATTCATTTTTCCACATATATAATAAGTGTGTTATGTACAATTTAAATATTAGATATATTATATATCCCTCCTATATATAATTCCCGAATGCGCTGAGCCTACGTGGCTGCTTCTGGTGCTTCGGAATCCTACTTGGCGGAAAATCATGCTTCGTAATTAGGTTTGGACAAATAATATTGATATATTAATAATTAATAATCTAGGTTCGGACTTTCCATAAATATTATTTAGCTAACTTAGATATTTTAATATCACTTGTACTAATATAACCCTTTAATTCTTTGTAATTTTATATAGTGAGGCAGTAAGTGATTAATATATCCCTGACTTTTGATTTGTTTCCTTCAATTAGCTGTTGAATTGTAAATGTATTTTAAAAGTTGATAACTTCTGTATTTCTTATCGATTTTCCATATATAATATATCAAATTAATCATCTTTTGATGATCTTCGATTTGACATCTATATTTTATATATGAAATAAATAAGTTATATTTATCTATATAATAATAAAAAATAACAATATTTATTAAAATTCATTAGAAAAATAAAAGTATTTCTCAATTCATATATTTATATTTAATGTAGTTATATGTTGTAAGTTAAAAAATTATTATGATATAACACAGATAAGTCGCACAAATAAAAAGTGTCATACTAAATATCCTCCCTATATATAATTCTCGAATGCGCTGAGCCTACGTGGTTGCTTCTGGTGCTTCGGAATCCTACTTGGCGAAGAATCATGCTTCGGAATTAGGTTTGGACAAATAATATTGATATATTAATAATTAATAATCTAGGTTCGGACATTCCATGAATATTATTTAGCTTACTTAGGTATTTTAATATCATGTACTAATATAACCCTTTAATTCTTTGTAATTTTAGATAGTGAGACACTAAGTGATTAATATATCCTTGATTTTTGATTTGTTTCATTCAATTAGCTATTGAATTGTAAATGTATTTTAAAAATTCATAACTTTTGTATTTCTTATCGGTTATACATATATGATATATCAAATTAATCATCTTTTGATGATCTTCGATTTGACATCCATATTGTATATATAAAATAAATAAATTGTATTTATCATTATAATAATAAAAATAACAATATTTATTAAAATTCATTAGAAAAATTAAATTATTTTTCGATTGATATATTTATGTTTAATGTAGTTATATGTTGTAAGTTAAAAATATTATTATAATATGACAGGTAAGTCGCAAAATCATACTAAATATATAATAATATATATTGTTTTATAAAAGGTATATATCATAATATCTATATTTTTATA